GAAGCCCTGCCCGAGCGCGCCCGCAGCCGAGCCCAGGGCCGGCGGGGGGGGGCACCTGCAGGGTCTCCTGCACAAAGGCAGACTTCTAGTGCCCAACACATAGCCTTCCCCTCAAGGCACACGCACGCATGGCTGGGACTGGACCGGCCGCGGCACGGACACTGGCCTGGTGCAGCGACAGCTGCGCTTCCACGAGCCCCGGAGGACAACCCGCTTCACCTCGCAGATGGGAGAAACTGAGGCCAAGACCCACTGGAACATAATTCAGCGCTCTGAGAGCTCCGGCAGGAAGCAGACAGACCTCCCTGCCTGGCAAGGGGCCTGCGGGAGCCTCGGGCTTTCGCCGGAACACCGGCAGGGACAGCAGCGCCCCGTCCCCAAGGAGAGCGGAAGGCGGCAGGACCTGGGAGCAGCGGGTCCGCGCTCCGTGGCATCAGCCCCTCCAGGCTCTGAGTTAACCCTGGGCCTGCCTCTGGGCCGCGGTTTCCCCATCTGTAAAATGCGATCAGGACAGCAGATCCCTAGCGGAGTCCGTGGACTGGGAGCCAGCAGGCGTCCAAGCACAAGGCCAACCTGCAGTCACCGGGGCCACCACGGCGCTCCCCCGGCTGGTGCAGAGAAACGGTCGCTGTCCCTCACCTCCTAGTTCCTACAGCCCGCCCAGCAGCCCGCGCCCCACTCACGAAGCCGTTGTCCATGATCCGGCAGAGGCTCTTCAGCGTCTCCAAGTCCTTGGTGAAGTGGAACTGCACCAGGCGAGAGTTCCGGAACAGCGGCACCAGGGTGGTCTGTGGGAAAGCCGGGGCAGCTCCATGATGCACAAACCCTGCCTCCGTGCGGTCCCCACACCGTGGTGGCACCTACTTACGACCTCGGACAGGTCCTGTGGGGGGTGCCCCACCCCCCGGGAGCTGCTCTCCACACCTGCCTGCCTGCACTTGTCACACAGGCCAGCCACCGGCCACAGGGCCCTTGCACATGCCGTCTCTTGATCCAGAACGGTCTCCATCCAGCAGCCCGTGGCCCCAAGGTCTACAGTGGCCGTGGCACAGGTGTGGCAGGCCCAGGGCCCCCGTCACACTCACCAGCAGCTGCTGCGGGATGAGCTGCATGTACAGCTTCCTCGGCCACTGCTCAGTCCTCCTGTGGGGCACGAGGGGATGAGGGTCAGGAAGCCGGGTCTCACCGGGACCCTGCCTCTGCCCCCCCTCACCCTGCCCCATACTCACAGGATCTCCCCTTGATTCACGTAGACGTGCGAGGGCAGCCACCTCTTGGACCGACTGTTGGGCTCAGGCCTGGGCTTTTGGGGAGAGGAAGAGGATGACATCAGGAGTGGGGAGGCACCCCAGTCAGTGAGGATGTGCTGGTCTCAAGGTCACCCAGGTCCCCCCAGGACTCACCTCTTGCCACTCCATGACGCCGCTCCACGCCAGGAACTTGTTGTTGACGATCTGAACTGGGCCTGCGACACCACCAGGGCCCACTGCCTGCGGAAGCAGGAAAGGGGGGCTGGTGCCCGCGAGCGCCCCAGAGGAGGCTTCTGGGAAACCTCAGCCCCGCCTTAAAGACCCTCGCCCCAGCCTTTCCAGCTCCTCAGCCTCCAGTCTGTCCACTGCCCCAGAGAACTCCCCAATGCTGGTCCTACCCTTCACCTGTTCACAGACCTCCCATGGCTCCCAAATGCCCTGAACAAGTCTCAGATGCTCAACCTGGGGCAGTAACCCCACAGGGTCTGCCTCTTAAGAACCGGACAGCCCTACAGTTTGTTGCACAAACAGGGACACTAGGGGGAAGGGAGACAGTATTCACAAGTAACTCGTAGGTCAGGTGAGCTAGGACACGCCATCACCCTCCAGAGCCCTCCAGCCACACGCAGTGCTCCCCACAAGCCTGCCTAGCCATGTCCCTGCCCCGCTCCACACGGGCATCCCTCCCGGCGGGAACCGCCCTCCATGACGCCCTGTGCTCTTCCAAGCCTCACTGACATGCCCGCTGCCCGGGGACCCGAGGCCTGGCCTGGCCGCTGCCAGCCCACCTGTTTGCGCGTGGTGATGACCTGCCGGATGGCGTTGACGAAGCCGCTCTGGTCGTAGGGGATGAGGCCCATGAAGATCTTCTTCTTGGACGAGTACAGGAGCATGAGCACCCGCACCTCGCAGGGGGAGATGTGGGGGAAGAGCATACACCCCGCCTGGGGGAGGGGAACAGGACATCAGGGACCCCAGAGCATTGTCAAGGGGCCAGACACCCCTCTGAGCGTGAGTCTGGGGTCACCTCTGAGGTGTGAGGATCCTGTGAGGGCGCCTTCTCCCACCCATGTCCCCCTTGAGGCCAGTCCCGTCCCTTAGAGCAGGACCTGCCTTTGCTAACCGGGCCAGAACAGCTTCCAGGGAAGCCCTGGGCACAAACCCAGCTCTGTTTCCTCCCAGCTGTGTGACATGACGCCAGTCGCCTCATGTTCCTGGGCCTCAGTTTTCCCGCCTGTAAAATGGCCTCACAGTAACCTCCACAGTCAGCGCCACATAAACGTCTGTCACGTGAGATCCTAGTGCCTCCTCGGTGGGACTTGGGAAACCAGGAATCTGACAGAGCCCTCCGTCAGGGCTGTTGGGACGAAGGGGCGTGCACTTCGGAGAATGCCCAGGCTACCAGCCTGCCATCTCTTGTCACCCAGGGGCCACTTGCTCAGGGAGCTTGTCCCCCACCTTCCTGGACCCGTGTGCAGCCAGTCCTCCCAGAGCTACAAGTAGGACCAGCAGTGAGACGTGCCAAGTGGCACAGGAAGCGGGCAGACATCGGCCTTCCCTACAGCCTGAGGGCCCCGTCGGGCAAGAGCCCCCGCAGCAGACAACCCCTGGTCTGTCCAGCCCAACGGGACGGGAACCTGCCTGCACACTGCAGGTCATGGCCCACCCAGCACCTGGAGACAGGAGGATGGAAGAGGGAAGCGGGTGCTGGTCCCAAAAGGGACCAGGGACTAGAGGGGACCCCAGAGCTGAGTCCCGTGGTGTCCTGGGCAGACAACCTGCTCTCATCGCATGTCCCCCCTGTGCTGGCCCCTGTCCCCTTCCACAGCCAGACTCCTATGCCGAAACCGGAGTCCAGAGGAGGCCCAGACCGTGGGGGCCGCAGAGACCACGCGGAGATTCGCTTCCCGGCTGCCCAGCCCCACAGCCGCCCCAGCCCGTGGCTACAGGACGTTTGCCACACGCACGAATCGCTGCCGCGAGCACCTTCCGCAAACTTCTAACAGCCCGAGGGACTGAGTCCCGCTGTCAGCCCCACTTGCCAGAGGAGGAGAGGGCCCCAGCACAGAGCATCACAGAGTATTCCCGCCGCCTTCCGTCAGTAGGTCCCTGTCACGTGCTGCGTCCCAAACAGGCTCCTGGGTCCCCAGAGACCCAGCGGGGCCCTCTACTCACTCGCATCCCCGACGAGCGCTGGCCGAGCTCCAGGAGCCGGAGGCAGGGGCGCTCCTGTAGGCCCTGCTCTACCGGAGACCCTCACTCACCGAGGCCACAGAGAAAAAGTGCCCCTGGGGCCCCTGCCTCCTGCTGTGCTCGGGCACCCCCCCCC